CCATGACAATAAACCTACTTTCCTCGAATCTTTCAGTACTTCTTCACAAGCTCCTTCATTTCGTCTACACCCTAAATGTGTCTCTTTTCCTTTTAAACGTTTCTTCTATTCTCATGAGTCAATGATGATCACTCGTTAAGTGCACGAATCCTAAAGCTCTGTCACAGGAATGTGACAAGAGCACTTTAAGTTCAACACACCTCCAAACACATTTCCATGGTTAGTGTTAATCCTGATTCAAATTCTGGACTCATAGGCTCCTTCTTTCTTCTTATCTGATATCTTCTTGGGTTCCATACACACCCTCTTCCTTCCTGTTCTATCATTTGTTCCTCAAGCTTAAAAAGAAAAACTAGCCTTCTTACTGGTTATTCTTCATCTAGTCCACCGCCCAATGTTTTTTAAGCAGGAATATGCATCAGAATAATTTAGGAAGCTTTTGCAAAATATACATATGATACACTGGATTCTAGCCTTGGATATTGATTTACTGGTTCTAGCATATGGCTAAGAAAATGTATTTTGAAAAGGTTCCCTAAGTGTTTCAGATGCATACTTCTTGTTAAGAATGACTGCCTATCTTACAACGTACACCTCTTTCAAATTAACTTTGTCTATGGTATCAATTTGAGCATTTCATTCTTTTGCTGAAATACCTTCAATAGCTCCCTGTTATATAAGCCCTTCCCCAATCTGGGCTCCAGACACATCTCTCCATTATGTTATCTACCTTTTAAAATGCTTTTCTGTACTCCTGAAAAATCCTTTTCCGTCTCTGCACAGGTCCAAATCCTATACAGATTAAATGCTTTCTTCTTCATGGATACCACTAGAAGAGCTCAAACACAAATACGCTCCCTCCTAGACCTATATTATATAACCTTTCACAGCATTTGTTAAATAGTGCCTTGTTTTTTTAACATTGACATACATACTTCATTACCTTCATACATTACAACCTCTTTAAATATCAGAGACACACTTGGACAATTAAACAGAAGTGATTATCACCAAAAGCATTTTCGCCCTCACATCATTTGCATTAGTTTTCTAGAACAAGGGTAAATTATAAACTACTTAAAGGCTGATACTGACTTATAAGAAATCTCACCTGAAGTAGAGGCTTGTGCACCAACACAGAAATTCTCATGAGACTAACCTATCACTATAAGTTGCATAGAAGGCGGAAGCTAGTAAAGTTATTACTGTTCATTACCTGTTCTGATCAAAGTCCTGAGAGTATAAATTCCCTCTCCCTAAATCTTATTTTGGGACTGTCAATTTTTTGATTTTTTTTCCCCGAAAGTCAAATTGGAAGGGAGAAAAAATACTAGCGGCAACTATATCTTCCATTTTAATTGCACACACCCGGTTAAAAAAATTATTGTTGTAGGTCATACTTTAAAATTTTGTGTGTGTGTGTTTATGTATGTAAGTGTGTATTTACATATATGTGATATATATATATTTCCCCCACCCCACAAGTGGGGATGAAAGAAGCAAGGTCATTTCCCATAGAAGAGAGAGCATGTATGCCTCCTGGATAAGTGGAGTTTTCTAAACTTTTAATTTTGAAATAGAGACTCAAGGAAATTGCAAAAAAGCAGTACATAAAGATCCCATGTACCCTACATCCAGCGCACTCTAATGGTCACATTTACACAACTCTAATAGAATATCCCAACCAGGAAACTGACACTGATACAACCTACAGATCTTGTTCAGATTTCATCAGTTTTCATCTGCACTTCTCTATGTGTATGGGAATGTACACAGTTCCAAGCAATTTTATCACATGTATAGATTCATGTAACCACCATCAATATGTGGTATTTTAAAATATTTGCTTTCATGCAAATCAGATTTTTATCAAATTGATAACAGGATTAGAAATAAAAGACAGCATATTTTTTTATCTCAGAAAATAGAACTTGGATATATTATTATACACAACACAGAAACTGAGAAGATACAATGAATACAAAGTAGAACTGCATTTTGGTTAGAAATAAATTAGAAAATAGGGGTGTCTGGGTGGCTCAGTTGTTAAGCGTCTGCCTTCAGCTCAGGTCATGATCCCAGGGTCCTGGGATTGAGCCCCTGCATCGGGCTTCCTGCTCAGCGGGAAGCTTGCTTCTCCCTCTCCCACTCTCCCTGCTTGTGTTCCTTGCTCTCGCTATCTCTCTCTGTCAAATAAATAAATAAGATCTTTAAAAAAAATTAAAAAATAAATTAGAAAATATATTCAAGTCAAAACTTCAGATTTTTAAGTTGTATGCTTCAAGTTTACTAAAAAACAACACATTTGGGCTATATTGCCCAATTAAAACAAAGTTACTCAGTATTATTTCTTGGATGCTCTTGAAGATTTGGTACAAGAAACAATCATATGGAGAATATTGGGGCAATTTTTTTACAGCCATTACTGAAGATGCTGCCTCTGACACCAGCCAATATCCTTTGCATATTTTAAGAGGGATGTGTACACAGTCATCTAGGCAACTAATGATATCCTGATGATAAATCTTTTTTAGTATTTATCTCAATAGTTTTTGTTTGATTGAAGAACTAGACTATTTCTCCTTAGCATAAAATAAAAATTACTTAGCATAACCAGTTTTTTTTTTTTTTTTCCATCCTGGCTGCCAAGAAGTTCAAATTGAATTAGTGCTCATTATAGTAAATATATTATCCTTGATTCTTAGATTTATCTTTGCCCATCTTTATAAGGCTTCTGGCCTTTATATCTTTATTTTAAATATCTTGTGTACATTAGTGTATATATTACACTATGTCACAGCACACTTTTAGAAACAATAATGTATGGACTGAATGTGACCCTCCAAAATTCATATGTTAATACCCTAACCCCTGATGTGAAGGTAGTAGGAAGTAATTAGGTCATAGAGGTAGAAGCATCATAATGGGATCTGTGCCTTTATAACAGACAGGAGAGCTTGCTTCCTCTTTCTTTTCTTCTCTCTCTGTCAGGTGAGGATACAATGAGAAGGAAGCTATGAGCAAAGCAGGAAGAATGTCCTCACCAGATATTCAATCTACTGGCACCTTGATCTTGGTTGGATTTCTCAGCTTCCAGAACTATGAGAAACGAATGGTTGTTTAAGCCACCCAGTGTACGATATTTTGTTATAGCAGCCCAAGTGAAGACAAACAATCACATATAAATGCTACATATTTTCTTTGTATACTAGTTCATAATTTATATTATACATCTACAAATATACTTGATTTAATCCACACAAGTCACTTCACCAATGAGGAAACTGAAATTCGAAAGATTAAATGACAACTTAGTGAATGGTAGAACTGGAAATCTCATCAATCTGCAATATTTGCCTTCCAGGGGGGCATAGTAAAATCTCATTTATTTATAATTACATTAATTTTAAAGTACCCTATATTTCTTTTATAAGCAATGCACTATTTGCTTAATTTCTAAAAATGGCCCCAATTACTACTTTTATCATTTTTTTTATTCTGACCAAAAATCACACACTTACTGTGTACTTGGTCAACAAGTTGTGTTCCTTCGTGCATAGTAGACAGAGATGTCTTTAATGGCATGCGATTTTTTTTAGAGCTTTTAACAGTATTACAAAACATCTATTTCTAACTATATATTCAGGATATCTTTTTTTTTTAAAGATTTTATTTGTCAGAGAGAGAGAGAGGAGACAGCATGCACACGCATGAGCATTCACAAGAGGGGGAGCGGCAGGTAGAGGAAGAAGCTGGCTCCCCACTTGGCAAGGAGCCTGATGTGGGGGGCTCAATCCCAAGACCCTGGGATCATGACCTGAGCTGAAGGCAGATGCTTAACCGACTGAGCCACCCAGGCGTCCCTAAGATATCTTTATAACATTTTCATGTGATAATAGCTGTAATTACTGTCTCTAAAAATAGCTGTTGCTATTTTATTATTAAAATAGTTTTTTGTTCTTATATACATGATATACTTTGATAATACACCCATTCATATACAACAGATTAACTGTTAAAAGTTGAAGAATCTGATTTTTATACTTACTGGCTGATAATTCTATTTTACTCTAAAACTGAATACTGTAGGGGTGCCTGGGTGGCTAGGTCGGTTAAGCATCTGCCTTCGGCTCAGGTCATGATTTCAGGGTCCTGGGATCGAGCCCCATATTGGGCTCCCTGCTCAGCAGAGAGCCTGCTTCTCCCTCTCCCTCTGCTGTTCCCCCTGCTTGCGCTCTCTCTGTCAAATAAATAAAATCTTAAAAATAAATAAATAAATAAAACTGAATACTGTAAAAGGAGTGGGGTAAATATATGAACCTGCAAAACCCTTTAATAACATAATTAAATATTTAACCTAATTTATACCATTGAAATAAACATTTATTTTAAATGCCAGACATAAATAGTTCCCTGTTAAATATAACTGCTGCAAATACACATTGCATACTTAGGCAATTTCAAAGCATGTCTGTATTATATTAATACACACTTATCTAACCAACTTATATTACAAAATATTATAGAATTATTGCTAAGTATATTTTAGCATTTGCAAGCAGAACAATGAATTCTTTATTTTTTACATAAAAATAGTGTAGCATAGTTATAATCACTAATATATATACATAGATCCATGCATATATTTGGTATCCTTTCCAATTACACTTGAAGTCAATGAAATAAATAATATTTATTTCACTTCATAAATACTGGCTTTGGCAAGCCCGATTATCACCTCATTTTGGAATATTTGTTTATTCATCACTGAGCACAAATCCAATTTTCTTTATATCATGTAAGATGGCATATTATATAAGCTCCCTATGTGTGTATGTTTCCAATAACAGTAGTAATTATATAATAAGCATTAATTTTATTTTTTGTAAACAGGCATTATTTGCTTAATTTTAATATGTATTAATTTGAATTGTATACTAATCTTTTTCTGGTATATAAAAAGGCACAAATATTTAATTTTGTCTATCATTTTCTTCCAGCCCCTACTAAATAACTTTGAACAAGTATGTCTAATATCAATTATTTCCTGACCTCAAGAAGTAACATCTGCAAACAGAGAAAACTCAGTCTCCAATCACCAATTTATCCTTACAAATTATAAATACAGCATGGGAATTTAATGTGAAGCTCTTTAGTACCATAAGACCATTTAACTACATCAGCAATTTAAAATATGCACAGCTATATAAACAAAACTAATCACTGAAAGAAGGGAATACTACAGAGATGGCCAAATAAGGAGGAAAAAAAGAACTCTTTCCTTTTAATATCACCTTTGAGAGAAATGTATAATGAAACAGGCTGAAGGTATGCAATTCTGAAATTTAATACTACTTCTCTTTATTTAAAATTATATTCCCCAACGTATCCCATCACAGCTTTGCTGATTCCTTCTAAATTGAAATACAATTTTTCTCTGATCTTTGATTTAAAGGATGTCAAACTTCTTATAAAAAGAGTTACTTGGCAAAGTTCAAGGCAAAAGAGCTATTTTAAAATGTTGCTCATATCAGAAGTCTGTTTGGATACTTCGAAAGAGAAATCCATAACTGAAGTACCTTTGGTGGCTCTTTGGAAGAAAAGAAAAAAGACCAGACATTTTAAATGAAAAATGTTCTTACCCAGTGATTCTTTCATCTCTATATGCAAGAGAGAGACTGGGATTCAAAAAGTTCATCTGCAACAAAGCCTCACTCTGACCCATTTAGCAGTTATATCAGCCTGCTACCTGAGGTTATGTAAGAGTTTCCTTCCATTTGGAAGAGTTCCTAAAATGGGTACTGTCAAAGCCGGTAAAACTGAAATCTGACCTACTTTTTTCAAAAGATTTCCATGGATTTTATGGCAAGTGTAATTCCTTTTACAATTGGAACTCTCCTCCTTTCAAATAAACTGTGTTAACTGAAATATGCTAGCAACTGCCTTACTTTTTAAGGGTTAAAATATAAATCCATAAAATACATACATATTACTCAAATTTCTATCTCTAATAGTGAATGCCTTCTGGTGCTTTTTGCATACATTGGCTTTCGTATCTATTGTAAGCCCAGTATCATTGCGAATAAACCCACGTTAAAAAATTCTCCATTGGGAGTACATCATAAAATATAAGTAAACTAATTAGTCTGACACGAAAGTCTGATAAAACACAAATGTGAATTTTAAAACATATGTTACTAAAAAGATTCCTTGTTATTTATAAAGCTGTCATGTGGAGTTTTCAATCTTCCTTTTAAGAATGAAGCATTACATTCTTGAGAGTGAAGAAGGTTAATTAAAATAGAAGCTATTAATACTTTTTAAAAAGAGAAATCTAATTTCTGGGTTCTTTCAAACTCCCAATTGTCACAAAATATAATGAGAAATGCATTTCAAGTAAATTCAAAAATCAACCACACAGCATTATCATTTACAGATATAAAATATCATTCTTATAATTCAAATAAAAGTGCTATACTTTCCCTACAATTACTCTGAAAAAATCACTGAGAAGTTCACAGAGATTTAATTTCAAATGAAAGGATAAGAAAGTATACAGGCTTATGGAAATTATATGCACAAGACAGCATGGCACAACGAACACATTTTTCACATGACTTACAATAATAAATCATTCCTTCTATTTATTCATTCTTAAGACTACTAACTTCATTTTCCTTAAACAAGGTTTACAAGTATAGAAAATGGCCTGTATTTGCTATGCTTAATTTTCTACTTAACTATAAATTACATTGAATTGAGTGAAAATGAAGTGGTTATAATTATTTATAAATAAATGAAACAAAAAAATTAACTTCATAGCCTAAAGCATATCCACAGACTTTATACTGTATACCTCATACGAACAGAGCAAACAGATATGATAAACACTATAATAATGGACTTTAGTTTCATCAAAATGATAATCTTATTAACTACACATTTATTACCCTAACTTCAAGGTTCCTTAGAGAACACAGGAAATAAATTACTGTGCCCATAAAAATATGAGACAAGAGATCAGTATGAGTGTTTCTTGTACCGTGCCAAAATTAAGGGAAAGTCCAGGAAAAAAGTACTCAAAACAGTTATTTCCTATGGTTAAACAATGCATAATTTAAGAATAATTAAACAGAACCAGGATTAAAGAATACTTATGATAGACTTAAGTTCTAGTAATATACACAGAAGGGAAGAATAAACATAGTAATGATCAACGCTCTCCAAATACATGCCATCAATCTTTGACTATAACTCTGTAGAGGCTTTTTTAGTATATATGGTTAAAATTAATCATATAAAATACACCTTAAATGGTTCACTCTGGAAAGCTAATATTATAAGCCATGATGTTTAAAAAAATCCTATATAAAAATGCAAAGTTATAAACATAAAGTACCAGAAGTTTCTAAATAAAGCTAATATCCTAGGATAAAAGGCACAGGAATGAAGGAACAGTAGATAAATTTATAACCAGTATTGGGGACTAGAAGCTATAAGCTAAAATTCATATTAAGACATCCACATCCTCAGATATAATATATAATGTTCCAGAAAAAGTAAGGAAAGAAGAATAAATGAGGCTGGCCTTACCATCAATGCTACAAATTATAACTGAGAAGTTGTAGTTTCAGTCTTTTTTCTACTTCTTTCTTTTATCATAAGTATGTTCATGACCTTATTTTCTATCTGGCTTACATGCAAAAATCACTTTTTGAAGCACTGGCCTATTATCAAAGAGATACGTCTTTTGTGCATGAAATCAATGGGGAAAATAAACAGTAAGAGTTATCCTAGTTAAATAATAGAACTAAATTCCTAGGAGATTTTAAAGGTAAATGTTAAAGTATGTGTTTCTGGCTCAGAAAATGTAAATCTAAGGAAAATCCAGGATAAGGCTAATTAAATTGAATATACTCAAGATTTTTTTGTATTTTATTTACATAAATGTGGAGAGGAGTAGTAGAAAATTTTGTAATATACCCATACCCAAGTTCTTGCTTTCTCTCTATCTGGCAGAGCAGTGTATTATAGAAGGTCGTGAGGATGACAGTGTGACATTATGACAAATAGGAATGGAGTCAATGCAAATGCAGTGGGCCAATGTGGCTTTTGAGAAGATGATGGTTTTTATGAATGGATATACTGAATTGCAAGTAATTAAAAATTTATTTGGACAGGCTTAGATACTTGAAAAAACTGTGTTCATAAGCATTCTCATTCAGAGACAGAAGTTCAATAAAATCTAACTGAAAAGATATGTATTTTTTCTAAAACTAAAAGCCCCAATTTCTTAGAAACTGACTTACTTTCCTCCAAAAGTATTATTTGTGATAGCAGAGGAAAATAATTCATTTCCTTAACTTCATAGTTAAGAATGCTATGACCCAAATTTCTACTGGTTCTGCTGAGTAAGCAGAGCTAAGTCATATTGGCCCATGTTAGTGCCTTAGTATAAAAAAGTGCTAACACTAAAAGTGAAATTGGTCTCAAAACCATACTTCTTTAAAAAAAGTTTTTAAGTGTATCATTGATATTTCAACACTTACGGCTATCGTAACATATGTTTCCTAGAGCCCTGCCCGTTTGAAGTAGCACTTCCTGGTCTTTGCTAGTTAGCAGCTGCACCAGTGGTGAAATCAATCCAGCATCCACACACGGAATACGCATAAATTCTGAAAATAAGAGACATAGGTAATTAAAAATCTAAAAATTCACAATTTATATAATCATGTCCTTTAATAAAATACCTACCTACTATTAAAAGGTTTAAGATGGCTTACCATTTGAAGAGTACATTCTGTTCAAAAGTACCATTATAACTCTACTAAATACTTAGTGAAATAAGTACACAAAATGAGTGGGGTCATATTTTTCTTTGTTGACAGTCTTTGTCATAAACCCAAAAGATTTTTAATTAACTTTCATTATACCTAATTGATCACTATCTTCTCATAGTAATGAAAATGCTTGGGAAGCAATATATGGTGACAAAACACTGGCAATGTTCTTTCCATGAGTGTGATAATTAAAGTACTACAGTTATAAACTAAGCCATCAAATTGTGCAAATTTTCACATGTTCTCGCTCTTCTTTCACTATATGTTCTCTAAAAAGACAAAATATTTTTTAAAGTTTCAAGTGTATCATTACAAATAATAGGTCCTTTTCAGTGGCTACGACCTAGTAAAATCATCTATTCCTTAATTCCTACTCTTTACTTTTATGCATCACTCACATCTGCTGCGAGTGATGTCACACATTCATAGGTCTCAAGTACCAAATGTTAAGTTTTCTTATACTTCGAACTCATTTTAGTTCTATAGTAAACCTTTCTCAAATTTATTGTCCCCCAATGATACCATCATAGTCATGATGATTAGACATAAACTTCTTTACAGTGTCTCATGATGGACTACTACAAAATTGAAGGATAATAATGATATCCAATTAATGAAAGTTCTCTAAATAATCAATATGAGAACTATCATTCTGGACATCATGACTTACTGCAGGATGTACTAGTCAAGGCACTTAGTCAACACAGACCTAATTCCTCAACCTATAACCCATCCTACTAAATAAAAAAATCATTGTCTTTTCACTATTACTTTCAAGGCAGTCTACTCCTTAGTTTGTTCCACAAGTGCCATCATCAGAAATCTTCCCTCTCTTTTTTTCTTCATTTTCAAATTCCTAAAGCACATCATATAGGGCTGTTATGTGAGCTGTTACCTCTGAAACAACTTTGTTTCCCCATGACATAGCTATGAATCACAGAGGTATTCCTCTCTACCTAAACAAAGGACTGCATTCCTATTACATCTCTTACTTACTTACCATTGTATTATTGAAAACTCTCTGTAATTTAAACTTCTAAGATTTAAGAAGTACTTCTTACTTCTAAAGTTAATCTTCAAGTCTACTGTTGATGTTTGTTTGTTTGTTTGTTTGAACTCCCTATTGGGAGTTTTCCCTATTGGGAAAACGAATTATGCTATATATACTTTCAAGAATTCAATGACCATCTTCTATAGGGGATGACACATCAATCTACTTGTCTACCTCTTAACTTAATGATCACTTTAGGATCTTTATATATTTCAAATCTTAAAGTAACATGTCACCAACTCAAATTAATCAATTTAAAGATGGATATTCATTATCTTTTCTACCTTTCCCTATGCCTAGTTTCCAACAATGAAGTAACTACTAAAATAAGAAATTTAGGAATAGTCTGATTTGCACTCTTATTTCATAAATGGAAGCTGTTGTTATATTTTATTGTTTTGCTTGTTTGGTTTGTTGTTGCTATTTTTCATGCGATGGCAACACTGATGAGGTACTATTTTTCTTTGCTTTGATGCTCTAATGGTCTATATGATACCAACACATCTTTCAAAATTCTGATGGTACAATCAATAGCTCCAGTTATTCTTGAAATGATAGAGAATAAATAATTACAGAAAAATTGCAGAATCAAATAAAACTGTTCTGAACTGTTTTTTTTTATACAAAAGCATACAAACACCATATTATAGGTCAATTGTGCCTCAATTTTTTTAAAAAAGCACATAAAAATAAAATAAAACTAATATATTCCTCAGCTTTCAATGTAAAGGCAATACTGCCAGTCCCTGGCAAAAGTAAACTCCCTTCTAAAACTTCTGCTTTTCAGTCAGTTTGCTTTTTAACTGAGGAGTGCAGCCCTCTTTAGCTAGTTTTTCTTTTTTTTTTAAGATTTTATTTATTTGACAGAGAAAGACACAGCAAGAGAGGGAACACAAGCAGGGGGAGTGGGAGAGGGGGAAGCAGACTTCTTGTGGAGCAGGGAGCCTGATGCGGGTAAGCAGGACCCTGGGATCCCAGGACCCTGGGATCATGACCTGAGCCAAAGGCAGACGCTTAACGACGGAGCCACCCAGGCACCCTTTAGCTAGTTTTAAAGACATAAAGTTTAAAGACATAAAGTTACCTACTTTACATGGATAGATGTAAAAATATACCATGAACTTATAAGGAATATGTTTAAAATATATTTCATTATATATTATTTATTTATATATATTATATATATAATATTATAGAGGCTACAGAATGAATGGCTGTGACAGTCATCCTTGTTCAAAGGGATTCCCACTACCCACATCCCTAGTTCATATTACATAAGCCTGTTACCTGATCATAGCTGGTTAGACTCTGACTCGAGTCCAGACTATATACAGGCTGGCCAATAGCCTATCAGATGTTCTAGTTCAAAAAATCTGCTAAACAGGACAACAGCAATGAACTTAAAAAAAAAAAAAAAAATCAGATCCTCTCCTGGTAATTTGAACTCCAGAGAACCGAAAAGTTCCTGGGGAATGAGGGAAGGACTGTCAGGCTAAGGCTCAAAGTAAGATACATACAGAATGATAGTGAGTGAAGAATCCATAGTCAGTGGAAGCCATTATGCAACAGAAGGCAGAAACCACTAAGTATTTGTATGCTTCTATGTGTGTCTATACAAGATAAAATTCATTTTGTTTTTTGCATAATGTATGGACTTCAATATAGAAATTCAATATAGAAGTTCAAGGAATAGGCATTGCTCTATCTCAATATCAACCCAAATTCATTAACATAAAGTTGATTTCTACTAAAGAGTATTTTTTTTCCTTTGTAGTGAAACACTCAATAAATGCTTGACAGACTATTTCTATTTCTTTCTGAATCCAGTATTCCTTTCTTTTTTGCTTTTACTTTCCCAAACCTACTTGAATTATGTACTCATTCAGCATCATCATGAAGTACAGCACTGTGATGAAAATCATAAAATAGTTTTCTTTTTATAAAATCTACTTTTTATAATCTGCTTATCAAATATTAAAAGCCTTACATATACATACTTTCCCCATTTTCAGCTGCCTGAAGGAACCAAATCTATTTTATTAAAACTTTTTTTAACTCTATAAGCCAAATAAACACATTTGAGTGTTAGAGTCTACCTTAATGTTAGACTAAATAGTAATGTATATTCAGTTTGAATTTTCTCTAATAAGCTTCCTATAATTATTAACTCTTAACTTTTTATGTTTTTGTTTAGAAGAACAAGGACAACTATGAGGCATGAATACATAAGAACCAGTGACTTTTATACACAGGTTGCTGAATTGACATTTTTCATTTATACTGTATTGCCTTTTGTTAAAAAATAAAAGTTAATACTGGTAACTGTAACTAATTCTTACAAAATGACTGAGGTTAAGCTTCCAACACTGCAATATCAAGGTATACTTAAAGCTAGCTACCTGACAATCTGGTGAATTTCTCTGGTTGGTGGGGATAGTATCAATTTTATTCAACAACTTTTCTAGAGCATACATATATTTAATACTAAAATAAACATATCCTTGTTATGGAGTAGATGGCAAAATTAAAACAAATAAATTTACAAGACAAAGCAGGAGACTTCCATGTTTCTAGTGGTGGCCTCTCTAGTTCATCCTGGGTGTACACTTAAACTTTTGTTCAGAGCATTCAAGGGGAAAAGTTTGATAAACACTTTTACAATCTGATAAAGCACAGATGGAGGGGAAAAGGCATAATATCGATCCAAATTACTGATTCTGTATTACTTTAGACTGCGATTTGGTTCTCAAGCTTTATAGGCATGAGAATCACCTGGAAGACTTGTTAAAACAGACGGCAGGCCCCAGTCCTAGAGTTCCTGATTCAGTAGGTCTAAGTGGGAGGATCCAAGAATTTGTATCCCAATCAGTTCTTAGTGAATCTGATGCTGATGGTCCAAGGCAGGCAACTATTGTTTTGGAGGACTAGTTGAAGAGATACAAAGTAGTTCATCTTTTGTTTGCTTTTTACACATTTTAACTTCATTTATAAGCCTAATCTTTCAGGTCATATGCTGCTATCCCTGCATTCAGACCACTAGTACACTTTCTACTTCTTTCATAAAATCTCCTTTACTGAAGAGAAGTAAAGCAGAAGCGACAAGGCGAAGCATAAATTCCAACTATTATCACGTAAGTGTTTGAATCCCAGCTTTACCACCTACTAGCTGTAAAGACAGGCAAGATATTTAACCTGTTTTCTCATGTGCATAAAATAATCCTATCTCATATGGGCTTGTTATAAGAATTTGAATGTACATAACACCCGGCACAATGTAGGCACATTAACAGCAGCACCTAGTTTTAGGAAGTTATTATTATTATACCTTGAGAGTACAATTCTGAAAAGAAGAAACTATTCATAGATACTTCCTATCTTGCTTATTTTTCCTTTGCCTCATATCAGTCTTAAGTATATTATACAGGGGAATGCTTTATTTAAAGGTATTGTAACCTTTTACTATAATTTATGCTTATAGCTATGCTCCCACATTAAACCTGCCCAAGAAACTTCTTGCTAATCCTCTGGATTTTGAACATTAGTACACAGTCAGGTATGTTGATTTTTAGAGGGTTTTCTGGATGTGCAAGTGTAAACGTAACTATGTTTTTAGATTAACCTGAATCTAAGTATATGCTAGTATTTCTCCTCTGTAGTTACATAAAATGAGCAGCAGAGTGAAGATGAACAAATCAACTTCCAAACTCTTTTTAACTCTGGTTCATATAATCTTTTTTTCATTGTCAAGTTCCTAACAAGAAGACAAGCCCAATCAATGTACTCTGTTGAATCATGCTATATTTCTGAAGATATTTGTTTTTAAAAGAAGATTCTGATTCACTTTCTCAGCCAATCACTTACAAAAACAATGTGGTGATTAAGCAAGAAATAAGTATTTAAATGTATTCTACTTATTTTAATCAGTAGAGGTTAGTAATATGCCATAACAAGCCTCTGATCAGAAGCATAAATTCTAAAAATTCTATTATGTCTTTAGAACGTAGCTGTCATCCATTAGAGTGTTACTGGCAGCAACCTATACCAGGAGAATTATCATGAAACTGTGACGAAGTATTATGAGGACTGATATTAAGTAAGATCATAGAGGAATGGCAATTCATTTCACAAAAATTTACTACCCGAAATTTCTGAATCTATGTTATAGTTAGTATGTAGACTCATTCTTAAAAGGTTTTAAGAAAAAAAATTGATTTCTGGAAATCTATACTGTAATTTCCATGAAGTTAAAAATGAACCACCTAGGGGTGCCTGGGTGGCTCAGTTGGTTAAGCAACTGCCTTCAGCTCAGGTCATGATCCTGGAGTTCCAGGATCGAGTGCTGCACTGGGCTCCCTGCCCAGCGGGGAGTCTGCTTCTCCTTTTGACCCTCTTCCCTCTCATGCTCCCTGTCTCTCATTCTCTCTAAAATAAATAAATAAAATCTTTTTAAAAAAATGAACCACCCGATCTTAGAAATCAAGCTGTATTGCATCTAAGAACAGATTCAGGTAGTGGTTGGTCTAGGTTAACAAATACCATCTAGAGGGGTTCCATTCTCAAACTAGATCTGCTTCAGGAGTTCTTTGTTATCCCAAGATAATCACTGTCTATTCAGAGCAGTTCAAATCTGCTTGAAGCACACTAAATACTCCCCTACCACTAGGAATCTGACCAGTTATGACCAGCTCGAATCCAAAGCACAGCATAACGATTATATAATTACAGTAGCTTACATATGACATACAAACAATAAGAGGCCAGTTTTCATTTAACAACCAAAAAATGATTTACCAATACAGAACCTCATTGGAATTTGAAAGACATTTTGAGAACCTCTAAACAAATGAAAAAATTTCACTGCAATTTTTTTTTTTTGGTAACACACACGAACAAATTGTCTTACTGGGCCAAAAAACAACACATACTGGTACTTTACAATGCCACCTGCCATACTGATTACACAAATGAAGCCAGAATTTTAAAAATCTCTTCTCTTTAAAGTATAATATATGCAAATTGCTAAAATAAAAGTCCTAAAAATATCAAATTTCGAAAATCGAGGCACGCTAAAGATATTATTTTAAATGTGGCCTTCCCTTACGCTTAAAAATTGCTTTAAGAAGTCAGTGTTTTTCTCAAACTGAATTAAAATCACGTGCAGGGGCTCCTGGGTGGCTCAGTTGGTTGGGCGACTGCCTTCGGCTCAGGTCATGATCCTGGAGTCCTAGGATCGAGTCCCGCATCAGGCTCCCTGCTTGGCAGGGAGTCTGCTTCTCCCTCTGACCCTCCCCCCTCTCATGTGCTCTCTCTCTCTCTCATTCTCTCTCTTTCAAATAAATAAATAAAATCTTAAAAAAAAAATCACGTGCAAATATTTCTGCTAAAATACAGTTTTTCCAAAGAATCTCTCACTAGATAGAAACCATCTCTAATAGGATGGATTAGCTATTACACAATCTAAATTTTGCTGTCATTGCTGTTTTTCCATAGTATTCTTACATGGAGACTTAAGAAATAAATGTGTCCCACGAAGGTGAGTGCAGGAAACAGAACATATATTCCAGCTGCACTGCTGCAGTCAAGTGCCAGGTGCCAATGTTAGTAGCATAGGTCAGACCCCCCACCTCCCTGAAAAGAAGGGGAAGTTTATCTGGGTATAATACAAACCAACATATATACTGAAAAAGGTGAGCTCTCCCGTGACAATGAAGATGAATGACTCAGTGGCAAGCTTAAGAATCCTATTACCAAAGACATCTATGACACAGGTGTGGCTTTCCTTTAACTCTACTCTGAAGGAATGGAAATGTGAATAGAATGACTATAACTATAGTCATTTTCAACAATTACATGGGAAAAAGTCAAAGAAAAGAGAAATAGAAAGAAATGGACAATGTCTAATCTACAAAATTAAAACATAAATTAATAAAACATACTGACAAGTGAGGTGTAAAACTGAAGATGTTCCCAGCAGAAAAGTTCTTGAGGAAAGCCTCACCATTTTTGGCTACTTCTGCTATGATGTTAGCTACTTTGGCTGTGCAGGAAGACTGTGGAATCAACAGACTTGCAAACAGCTGAAGTATTCCACTTCCTTGGATTTTTTCACTTGTTTCCATATCTGAAAGAGATACATACAAAGAACTTAAATGAAAATCTTCAACACTAATACTGACAACTATCTATATACATTTATATAAATATATGTTTATAATCTTCAGTTAAAACAAGCTGCTTTTATCTTGAGTTTTTATTTGCACAAAACACTTTATAATACAATGTTTTGTCTATCTAAAGTCAGATTATAAAGGAATCTTTTCTGAATATACCATTTGTACACCATATTTACTCTTCAATGTTAGTTCCAACCTGGTCTATTCAGACTAGGAATGCTTTTTTCCTACTTCCCCTCTGAATTCTTAATGGCAGGCAATATCATTATATATGTAATTTCTATGGTTTCCTACAATGCTATAGAAATTCTTAATGGCAATTAAATGAGCAAAAAACTCACCTATGTCATTTTATATGGAATCATACAGAGGAGACTATATAGTTCCAATGACTACTATGTTTTTCATATAACTCATTCAAATGACCACTAATGAAGAAGAGAAATAGTAAACAGCAAGAAGGCCATGGTGTTCAGAACTCTATTTGTTGATATAGAAATATAAGAGTCCCCTACTTCTTTCTTTCTCTTCTTAAAATACAAATAGCCTTTCTATGAAACCAAGCCACTCATGTACCTGTTATTGAAAGCATGACCTATAAAAAGACAGTAAGAACACTGGAATGATGATGGAAGTAAAGAAAAACTCAAGGAAATAAAACTTAAAATTACTATTTGATTCTAAACAATGAAGAGGAATGGCATGTATTTAGAGAGTTATAAAGCTCATTAAATCATCCAATTTAAATTTGGTCTCCTATATCCTTTACATCCTTTGGATATACATACAAATAAGAGGGAACTCTAAAGACTGCTTGTTAAGTAAACGGCACCTGTTGTGATCAACATAGAATAGGAAAATCATTTTTAATAATCTGAGAGTCTACCCCCCCAAATAATGTATTTCTTTATAGTAAGTACTGATTGTTTAGTATAGTGTTTTTCAAATTGTGGGTCCCAATCCATTAGCAACTCTGGCTTGGTGAACAAGAACCAGTAATTTCTTAAAAAGAGAAACAAAATTAACATCTGCAACAACAACAAAATAGAAAAAACTTTTGCCCATAATAAGGTAAAACAGTGCAACTTTGGTTTGAACTACGTGTATGCACGTGTACTACTCCATGTAAAATGTATTTCTAATTATAGGGTCTGGTCAAAAAAGTTAAAAACCACTGTTCTGTGCACCCCTTGACTATGCAGGATTCTGAGCTAAAGAACCTTTAACACTCTCTTAACATTATCAAAAGAAGCTAGAACTGTGAAATGATTCTGAAGAAATAGAAAGTTATATGGAAAATTATACTTCCATGGATTTATTACCTTAAAAAAAGTTATTTGCAACAGGTTATACGTGTGTGCTCACCTAAGACATTAGTACTATAGATGAAGTAACCAAGATTATCCCATGTTCAAACTCCATCTATGCATTTCCTGTTGCTACCATAAGCCTAGTACATTTTCATACAGCAAATACTATTTTAGTTTCTTATATTTATGTAGTAAAATAAAAAGGAAATTTTGGAGATACTTTAAAATAACCCTATTTATTAAGTGAAGAAACAGAGCCCAGAAAAATGAAGTAAACTTTTCTAGAGTCACTAATCATACTAATCACAGAGAATAAATAACTACTTCAGATTCTGTGCCACTAACAAATTGACATGTGTTTTACCTGGCATCCACTGGTGTTTTTTTTTTTTTTTTGAACAGAAAACTTACTTAAGCATGACTAGAGAAACCTACCCTTGTGTGTGCAGTTTCTTACTATGTTTCTCATAATTCAGATTATTACAAACATAAACTACCCATGATGGGACTTAAACACAGAAGCTGTCCTTTCGGCAGGGACAATTTTATATATTTATAAAATATAATGTGATGTTTTGCTTTTATTTTGTTTCTTGGACTAAAAAATAAGTTTTTAAGATAACACCTGAAAATCAGACACCAAATTTCCATTACTTGATTTTTTCCCCCAAGAAGCCAAAAAGAACTGAACTCAATTTGCCATATTAAAATCCTTCCTTTTCTGACCATTGCTACCACAAGATGTATAACCCCAGAATGCTGGGGCAGACTGCCCCAGGGGTCTTGTCCCACCATCTGCTGATGCTGGGATGACAGCAAGAGTCTGGCATAAGGCATGAATCACGATTAGATGTGAAGCTGAGGCATTTGTGTGTGTGGAGGCGAGCAGTTAAGTGCAAATCACCCATGCATGTCTCATTTTAACCATAACTGAAAGAATGACTTAACATCAGAGCTGAACACTAGGGGCAAGGGGGGAAAAGGAAACAAAAACATATACCAACCCCTTACATTCTGATGAGTCTTGCCACAGTTTACAATCCAAGAAATTGGGAAAACAGCTGTACTAAAATGAATGAAGATTTGGGAACAGTATTTTTTTAATGCTATTGTCAGAGAAATAAAAGGGAAAAAAATTTTTTCATATAAACCTGATATACAATTTAGAAAAATCTAACAGGAATTCTATTAACTGGCTAGCATGTGGATCTCTTTGTAAGTTTCAAATTTAAATTAAACAGCTGAGAATTATCTTCTTTCCTTTGGCAAAGAAACATAACCAAATACTGCTTATCACTAAAATGCCACTGTACAATAAATAATTACAAAGTTTCAGTCTCATTTCATATATATTTTCTGCACTGGCATTCTATTGCATCTCAAAGGGTATATTTATCTGTGAACTAAAAGATGTTCTCAGATATCTGTGAGCACTCTTGAAATAATTTTAAAAGAACATTAAGAAGTAGTCAGTGGTTAGTGTTTGCAATCTAAATGATTGACTACTTGTAAAGAAATCATGCACTGTGATCAGTTTTTTTTTTTTTAAAGGTAGACTTTTCATTATCTTTAGCCAGACTACTATTGACATTTTAACTATGCTCCTTTTAAATGTTTGTAAGAATCAATTCCACATCTTTCTCCCCCTTCACATTTAGGTGCGGTCATAAAAATGTTTGAGTATGTCTACAAATTATAGGCAGCTGGCAGACCTTGAATTTTGAAGGACCCATATATGAAGGACAATTGCTACTCTACAGTAATATCTGTGGGGGTGACTGCAGGAGTCCTGTTCATCACAGTGGCCTGGAAGCTCTATAAGCACTCATTCTGCCCTGGGAGTCCTATGTCCACACTCCACCTAACCTCTTGATGGCAAGGAGGCAGGCAACTTAGTTATGAAACTGCCAGTGAAAGAAAGAACAGGAAAAGTGGGCAATCAGGTCAGAGAAACTTGAAAGAAGAGTAAATCAAGAAGCGAGGATACAATGCCATAGAATGCCATCTAAGAGAAGTTAAAGCACTACTCATAGAACTTCTCAAGGCCAATAAATGACCCAGTGGAAGAGAGCAAGTGGAATGAGAAGGAACCTATAATTCCTTCTAGAAAGACTAAAGTTCCCAACAAAGCTGCTAAGTAAATACGTTAAAATAACTGGCTTTACAGTTAATCACCAAGGGGAGGTTTTCAGGTATGCTACTAAGATAAGATGAATTTATGATGTTATGTCAGCAGGTAGGCTACATGAAAATAAATTAATGGAAAACATCTGATAACCATTTTATAGTAAACTCCAAGTTAGAAAAACAAAAATAATGACTGTTATTACTGTAACTCTATTAGATTAAAAATGTATTTAGATTAGATAGTATTGCTTTAGAGCAATAAAAAGAGTTTAGGGCTATAGGAACAATAAACTGGTATCTTTACATTATATGTCCAAGGGATCCCTATGACAGACTATGAAGAAAAGACTCACATTTTGGATTGACCAGGAATATGACTCATGGATCAAAAGTCCAAGTGTTTCCTTCCCTAGGGAACTATGTATTACCTCTCAGGGTGGATTTTTAGAAAAGGGTGTAACAAAAGACCTGATCCTATGCCTAGGCGATCTAACCCAAATGTAAGGCATCATTTCATCAAATGTGGGCATAGTACTACACAGACAAGTCCCAAATCCTCTCTTCTTTTATCCAACTGAAAACAAAGAATTTGCACTTGGCTATGCCATAAATACCTCAAATTTAATATTCCCCAAATCAAATTTACCCTTTTTCCCTCAAATTCATTCTAGTCTCTCAGTGAATGACAGGGAATCCATCTAAGCCAGAAGCCCTAGAATGATCATAAACGTGTCACTTTTAGTAAGTGCCTTTCTACTACCCACATTAAATCAGAGCACAGGTTCCATAGATTCCATCTCACTAGCTTCTTTTGTATCCATCCTTTCGACATCCATGTCACTTCAAGTTCTCAGTTCTGACCCTTATTAAATCCAGTAGCCTCCTCAAGAGTCTCCCTAAATCCAACTCCCATCCCCCATCTGCCATCTACAGTGATACCAAAATAAACTTCTGGAAATGAATTTCATGTGACTCCTCTACTCAAATCTTTAAATGATCCACCATAACATTTAATGAAAGTCAAGCACATCTGTCATATTTCCCAACCTATCTCCTGGTACTCCCCCACTGATATCCTATACTCTAGCCACACTAAGTTACTTGTAATAATACAAATTAATCTTATCTTATACCACCCTACTGCATATGTTTCCTCTCTGAAAGGCCACCACTCCCTACTTTAGGTAATTCCTGCTCAGTCTGTGTCCTCACTTAAAGATAGTTGATTAAAAGCCATTCAATCTTTCTAATGATATCTGACCAATATAATCACCACCTTAAATTTATATTGAGAGCATTTTTTTAAAATTTCAAAGCAATTTCAAACATATTATCTCATTATTTTATTTATCTATTTATTTTGAATCTCATCATTTTAAAAAGGTCACGTGAGACAGCATTATAGGTCATGTTTTCTTCACATTACAAATAAGGCCACATGATAAGATTATATTGGAAAAGGAAAAAGAATCCAGTTTTTCTGGTTCCTACAGTCTAGTGCTCTTCCTACC